TCGCTTTTCTTAAGTAGATTCAGTGATTACTTTTTACAGTGTGTGTGATCTTTAGTTATTGTTGTCTGAATCTGCAGAATTGATGGTTATAACCCGGGTCTCTGTTTCCAGTCTGAACGCTGAGGAGCCGTTCTGTCGAATCTGTCATGAAGGCAGCGGCGCGGGTGATCTGTTATCTCCCTGCGAGTGTGCCGGCTCTCTGGCGATGGTGCACCGTGTTTGTCTGGAGCACTGGCTCACGGCCTCCGGCACCAGCCACTGTGAGCTCTGCCACTTTGAGTTCGCTCTGCAGAGACTTCCCAAACCACTCACCGAGGTAAAATCATCAGCGTCAGAGCTTGGGAATGACTTATATTCTCTGAAGGACTGAGGAATGAGTTCACTCATTTGACGCTCTAGGCAATGTAAGATGTGACCAAAATATTATTTTGCAGGTTTAGCAGGTGATGAATCTGAGAACCGTCTATTTGTGCTTTCTGTAATTCTGTCGGTGGCTGCATGTTGCTATGGAAGATTGTCTGACCTCAGCTGACACGTATTGCACTATCAGCCTGTCAATCTGACTTCAGTTCATGTGAGACACAGGAATAAAGAGAGCTAAAGCGGTAAATGGACATATAATAACACACTCTCCATAATAGTCATATGGCAAGTGTTTTAAGCGTCATTATCAGCATCCGTTCTCCTGCAGTCAGTCACTCTCGAGTCAGAGTAGTGTCCCCACGTCACATATTGGCGGGTCTGCTTTCCCTCGGCTTCTTTTAAAGGGGTCATATGATGCTTTTTTAAAGATCATTATTTTGTGTATTTGGTGTAATGTTGACATGCTTTAATGTTCAAAAAACACATTATTTTTTAGCTTTTGCCTGCAGTGTCTCTCCCCCTTGAGTTACTATCCAAACAATATATGAAATAAGCTTTCAAACGGATTTAATTGAAGTATAACCCCCTCCTAATGAGCTGTGCTTCGTGGCTGCAGTGGTTCAGCACACCCTCCATGCAGCAGCAGAGACGGACGCTGTGCGGGGACGCCATCTGTTTCCTGTTCATCACACCCTTAGCGAGTCTGTCAGGCTGGCTGTGTGTGCAGGGAGCCATGGATCTGTACTACAGCAACGGCATGAAGGCCGTGGGACTCATTGTTCTCACACTCACACTCTTCACTATTTACCTCTTCTGGACTGTTGTGAGTTCACTCTTGTTTTCAGTGCAGCAAAAGAAAGTGCAATGACATTTTATACCTGCAGTGTTTCTGATTTGGGAAACAAAAATGGTCTTGAAAACACACATTAATTAGCTGAATGACACCCAGGATAAATGAAGAAAAAGTTTTTGAAAACACTTACCTAATAAGAGATTGGGATGATCAGCTATTGAATCTGGACTATGTTGAATAACAAATCTGTAAAAGAGTGATTAAAAAGTCAAATGATGATAAAATGGTACTAATTTTTCCACACGATCTTCTTTTTTAACTGCAGGTATCCCTACGTTACCACATTCACCTCTTCAGGACGTGGAATGAGACGAATCCCAGTGTCCGGCTACAGATTCCCCGTCCTGTGAAGACGCATCAGAGACCAAAACATCTGACAATGCACTTCTTGTGCAAATACAAGAGTAAGGAGACCATGGTGTAGTTCCTGAAACATCATCAGGAAGAAAACAGAAAACTCATGACGTCCTGACTTTGTGTGAAGCCCTGATTTCGAGTCACACTCCGATCTGGAATGATATTCTGATCTGGCACTCACACGCTGAACTGAAGAGATGTCCTAATTTGGAGTGAAACCCCAATTTTGAGAGATTTGGAGTTACACTCTGATTTGGAGCGGATGGTTTCATCTGAACTTCTGTTTTAAATAATGGAAGAAAAGAACATGTCTTCTTAAATAAACCAGAGAACAATGTTTTTGATATGATAACAATTGAGCTATTTATACCTGCAGGTTTTACCTTACAAAACTTGCCTCATAATTATTCAACAGAGTATATGTCTAGAAGAACATACAGTGGCTGTGGCTAGGCAAGACAATCATACAGATTAGCAGATCATTTTATTACTGTTTGCTTTATCATGGAAACACTTAAAACTGTTTTCTTCCATGAATCAATTGTGAACATTTAATCATCTTTTAATCATTTGACGTTGTAGCTGAATTGAAAAGCCTAAAACGTATCCTGTGTACATTGTGTGCATTGAAAATGTCACATCAGAAAATCCAACATGAGAAAATATACACTACCATTTTTTAAAGAAATTAATACTTTTATTCAGCAAGGATGCATTACAATGATCAAAAGTGACAGTAAAGCCATTTATTTCTATTCATCAAAAAATCCTGAGTATTTTTTTGATCACAGTTTCCACAAAAATATGATGTAGCACAACTGTTTTCAACATTGATAATAATAATAATAAATGTTTATTGAGCAGCAGATCAGCCTATTAGAATGATTTCTGAAGGATCATGTGACACTGAAGACTGGAGTAAGGATGCTGAAAATTCAGCTTTAATCACAGGAATAAATTACATTTTAAAATATATTCAAATAGAAAACATCTGTTTTAAATGATCAAATATTATATTTCGATTAAATAAACAGGTGTGCATAGGAGTCTTTTTTTTTTCATATCCCAAACTTTTTCAGTGGTGTAAAGTTTTATTTTAACTAATTCATACAAATTTGCCACCAGTTGCCACAATCTAAAATAGTTATGAATTGGCCGTTTAATTCAACAGCAAATTTCAGGTGAGTGGGTTGAATATCTCTTTCAGTATGAAGAAGAAATGTTTGACTCTCTCTGTCTGTCTGCATTTCTCACTGTAAAAATATTAAATCATGGCAACTTATGTTCCCTTTCATGGGAACTTCGAACTGCGTCCTCTTGGGGTCGCTATGGGGAACGCCTCGTCGTGACCCGTGTCTGAAGCATACATTGAAAAAACACCAACTTGTTGGCCGGCGATAGCCATGACGTCACTACCGGCGTGACTATAGTATAAATAGGCGCCGGGAGCACACATTATTCTCTTCTTCGTCTTCATTGACTGTTTTGTTTGAAGCGTGCATTTCTGTGGTAAGAGCGATCTCTATTCATCTCATTATGGCGTGCACTAGCAAAGCGTTTAAGGATGTATGCATCCGTGTTGACATTGTTTAACATCTGATGACACACACGATCTATGCGTTATTTGTTTGGGCGAAGAGCACGCACGCAATGCCTCCGCGGGGGCAATCGGCGTGCACTATGAGCGTTTTTTCCAAGGGAAAAAGCTCCTCTCTCGTTTGTCTTGTTTGTCTCTCTTTTCGAGGAAAGAGGGGCAGCCATCTACTT